GAGGCTTTGGCAACATGGTATATGTGTGAAGGAGAGCAGGCTGGGAGGGGAGAGGGTTCTGGCTGGACCCCTAATCACAGTCAGAGCCTGCAGGGTCCTGCTTTTCACTCAGCCAGCTGGGACCAAAAGCCCAGGCTTGTTTTAGCAAGTGCTCTCCACCCCAAATCCTCTGTCCTAGGACACTAGCTCACTATCTGAACATGACACATCTACTTTAGATGTAACAGGAAGAAAACAAGAGAGATGTTTTAAGGCTTAGCTGTGGTCTGGGCCACTTAGGCTAGGAAGAAGGCACTCCTCGAAGGGAAGACTTGTTTCCTATGGGAAACCACCCTGGTGGACTTGCACAGTAGAAGCCCTGGGGAAAACCAGCGTCCTGATCTCATGGTGAGGGAGAAGGAAACTGGGCTCCTTGGGACAGAAGGGAGAAGGGTCTTTGTAGACAGAGAAGCCCTACCAACATGGGGGCAGATGAGGCTCTGAATTAAGTATGAGAAATGGCCCTGGTCTGTGCTTTCTGCTCAGTTTTCTGTAAACCTAAACCTGCTCTAAAAATTTAAGTCCATTATTTTAAAAAGAGAAAGAAAGAAAGAAGTAGCCCTGACTGATGAGAAATTTCTTGTTCTGGAGATGGCCTGAGAAAATTAGAATAGTTGTTGCCTATTCCGTGCTATAACTTCCCTCTGTGACCCCAAACCTACAGTAAATTGTGCTCAAAATAGCTGCCTGTGTTAGTGACACTTTGGGAAAAGGAGGGAGAGGAATCGTGTCCAGTGTGGCATGAAGCANTAGCTGGCCCCAGTTTTATGGATGCTGGCAGAAGACACAAACTCCTGGGTCAGAAGCAAAAGAGTTTATTACTCACAAAACAACAGGTGGCATGAGCTTCATATTTGTGACTGGTCTCCATGTACCTCAAGTCCCCCAGAGGCAAGAGAAGCAGGTCTGACTGGATGCTGCACTCGGCGTGGGTTTGTGTCACAGCTGAGGAACCCCAAGTTTAGGAAATCCCAATCTTTCATGATGAACTGCAAGCAAACCTGTCCATCCTTTGCTCCAGAGGTAGATATTATCTTTATAATACTAGACAGCAAACAAATCAGCATCCACTTTGGTGGGAAACACTAGCTCTGTCTTCTAAGGCTGTTTGCTGTTCAAACATCACTGAAAAGATAATTCAGAACAAAAAGCTACCAGTGCCTCTGCTCACAAGAGACCCAGGGATAACTATCTCCCAACAAGAGTAAAAATGATTAAGCAGTGTATTCAGGAGAATTCAGGAACCTTTATTCTGTTCCTGTTTGGAATTCAAAACCTTAACTATTTAAAAAATCTAAATTACATCTATTTGACTAGGTAACATTTTAACATGCTACAAAATTTAAAAGAAAATATTCAGGATTATCTTTTAATAAACAAAAGATGGCATGAAAGTGGTTTCTCATTCACTGTGAGAAGGGAGCACATTTGTATCACACTTATTTTTCTTTTATCCTGGTTAATTCTACTTTTTTATTCAACTTCCAAATGACTAAGATTCTCTAAACATGTATTAAAACCCTGAGTTCAGCTCTTAGGGGATATACTTGTAAGGAACTACTTCCATTTTACTGGAGTTTTATCAATTTTCTACTGGATCCGCAAAGTAACCCACACCTGGTCTGCCCAGACAAGCCCAGGTGGCAAAGTGAAGGGTCTAAACCAGCATAAAAAACTAAGAATTGGCAGCATCTTAGCCGAGAGCTTTGCAAGTGTAGTCTTCAGCACAGCTCTCTTGTTTGTTATATCTGCCAGGCCGATGTGTAGCTCTGTAATCAAGGATAGCTTTTACAGTCTTTCTTTTCAGAAGATTGTGTTACTGCCTAGTAATCATTTGAGGACATATATCCTAGTAAGTACTTGATAAATTCCGTTGACTAGTTATACCATTGGAAACATTTACTAATATTCATGTTCCAAAGAAATAGATGGNAATCAAACCAAATACAATGCCTGACTCCAAGTTAGCCAAACTGGATGTAACCAGAAAACATTTTTTCTCTGACCTGCTACCTAAGAAGCTGTAATTAAGCACCTCTGGGTTTTATATTACACACATTGATGGTTACGTGTTTGTGGAATCTGCAAACCTCAGACCTGGGGAGGTTTACATATCACACAGCAGTTTCTTTATTTGACAGACAAGGACGCGGAGCCACAGAGACACAGGTAACTTGCCTGAGATCACAGAGCTGCTTCGTGGCAGCGGCCGGCATCGAACCACACACAGTCGCAGAGCAGTCAGGACCCTGACCGTGATCCTGATGTTTCCTGATGACCAACCTAGGTGGTCTGAAAACTGGGCATTTATTGTACTTAGTCAGTGGAACAAAATGCACATGACAGCCTTTTGTGATCTATATCATGCTCCGTGTGAGTTCAGCACACACCTTGCTTTCTCCTCCGTCTTCTCACCCTGACTATATGCTAGTGATCTTTCTCCTGAAAAGTTTATGCTCAGTGAAGAAATGAGCCATGGACATCATAAAAGCTCTAGCCCTCCTTTTTCCATGTACTTGAGGGTGTCTAGGCAGCCTGGAGTCTATTTGACAGCCCTGTGGTCATGGATGGATGGCTTAAGATGGCAATGCAAAGCTTTTGTACTCTAAGAGACTTAAAATAAAACACGGTTCCAGGGATGGGGGTGGGTACCTCGTGCAGAGCACCAAGGACACTCCAGAGCAGGCTGTCTCATTCCTCTTCCACCTCTCTTCCTACCTCCCTCAACCCCCACCCTGAGCTACCCAGACATGCCCTCAGCTCAAGTAACCTACTTCTCAAGTAAGCACACAGAAACGACTTTCTCTTTTTTCCCTCACTCAGCCAGGCCCTGGCTCCAGGATAACAGGTCAGCATATTTCAAACCGAGATGCCAACAGTCATAAACCCTGAAAGGGATGCTTGTTAATGGAAATCAACCTCAAACTGGTAGCTTCTTGGATGGGAGGTATTTTTTTGCTTGGAGGTCTTCCAAGTGTTCTGGCTTAATTATTTCTCAATAAAACACACACACACACACACACACACACACACACACACACACACACACACAACGTCCCATGGGAACCAGTGATTAAGCACCCCAATATTACAAGTTTT